GCGGTGGGGGAGGGGTGGGGGGGTTGCCTCCTTGCATTCCACTTTGGTAGAGGTACCAAGGCTTCCCCGCCTCGGGGTTCTGCTGCCCTTTGCAGGGCACAGTTACAACTGAGGAGTGCAGACCTCCTTGCCCCTCTGCTCACAGACATTACAAACCTCTCCCTTTCCACTGATGCCGTTCCCAACCCTTTAAAAACAGTCATCATCACTCCTATCCTTAAAAAACTCCCGGGACCCATTCCTCCTCTCAAACTACCGCCCCATCTCCAACTTCCCTTACTTCTCCAAGGTCCTGGAATGAGTCGTTGCATCCCAGCTTCGCTCCTTCCTCTCGCCACTCCCTTCATGAACCCCTTCAATCTGGTTTCCATGCCACCCACAACACAGAAACCGCCCTGGTCAAAGTGACAAATGACATTCTGTCCATCTGCAACCAGGGCTCCCTCTGGCTCCTCGTCCTCCTTGACCTCTCTGCTACCTTTGACACCATTGATCACTCTATCCTCATCCACTGCCTCTCCTCTCACCTCAACCTTATTGGTTCTGCCCTTGAATGGTTCAGATCGTACCTCTCAAACCACCTCCACTTCATATCCCACAAATGGCTTCTCTTCTAGCCCTTCCACCATCTTGTGCGGTATTCCTCAGGGCTCTGTCCTTGCTCCCCTTCTCTTCAACATCTATATGCTCCCTCTTGGTGACATAATTCACAGACATGGGGTCAACTTCCACATGTATGCGGATAACACCCAACTATACAGCTCTGCCTCCACCCTTGACTCCAGAACCACTGCTGTCCTGACAGAATGTCTGTCAGACATCAAGTTCTGGATGAGAGCTAACTTTCTTCAGACCGAGGCTCTCCTGATTGGCTCCGTCAGCACCTCCACACCTCAGGCACTGATAGCATCACCATCTATGGTTACACACTCCACCTTTCTAAGCCAGTCTGGGACCTTAGCATCTTGTTTGATCCTCAACTATCCTTTCTACCCCATATCCGTGCCATTACCCGCTCTGCCTTCCCCCACCTCCGCAACATTACCCAGTTCCGGACCACTGTCTCACACCACAGGCTGCCAAAACCCTCATACGTGCTTTCATAACATCGAGGCTTGACTATGCAAACTCCCCGCTTGTCGGCTTCCCCAACTCCTCCCTCCATAAGCTGCAGATCATCCAGAACTCTGCAGCCCTTTTCATCTCCCGCACCAGGCTCCGTGACCCTATCGCCCCCATCCTCGCCCAACTCCACTGGCTTCCCATCACACAGAGGATACAGTTCAAGATCCTGGTCCTCACCTTCAAAGCCCTCCATGGCCTTGCTCCCCCCTACCTCTGCGATCTCCTAATTCCCTACCATCCTGACGCTCCTTCCACTCAGCGGGCTCCAGCTTGCTTCATGTCCCCCACCTCGCCCGGCCCACCATTGGCAGGCGGGCCTTCTGTCACTCTGCCTCCACCCTCTGGAACCCTCTCAAGACCCTCCCCTTCGACCGTGCTTTCGATATCCCTGCTTCCCCCCCCCCCGCCCTCCACCCTCCCCAATCCCAACCCGCAGGTCGGGTCTGAAACACTGACTGTCCAGTGCTTTGGGACGTCCTCCCGACGTGAAGGGCGCTTTACAAATGTAATATTTTATTGTTGTTGTTGTTATTAACAGCACACAGGAAGTCTCCACATGAGGCCTCTAACTTGAAGGAGGGATTGTCATGAACTGAGCTTGGCTGACATCCTGCCTTATTTAAAGCCAATGAACAAAGTTGCTGGCACACTTTCTTGCCTGACAGAGGGCTTCAAAAGTGCTGCCAATCCAAGTGACTCTCGCGGATTCTCTTCAAGGCGTTTTTGAGACAAAAGCTGATAATCGGTGTTATTGATTCGGACAAAACCAGACAAAATGATCCACTATCCAGCCATAGTAAATCAAAAGTTACAGCAGTTTGCCAAACGTTCTCTGTAGGATCTTCAATTGATAAAACGTTAATGAATGTGTGTTGGTGAAGAGGAGATTAAACATGTGAGCCCCAGGGAATCTATGCAGTGGTCAACCATGTCGTTGCAATTTATAGCAGTTGAAATCAAAGTGTAATAGAAACGAATTACTTTTATATGTGAAATGATCCGCGATTTATTTCGATGCATTGCTTTGGTGACTTTGGGTCATATATCTAACTAACTTTTGAAATGCAACTCAGCTCCGGGGCGATTGGCGTCACATTTAGGAAATCAACAAGGACCTGCCTTTCCACATTCACCAGCAATTTAAAGCACTGGAGTATTAACATGTCATCGAAGGCTGTGCCAAGATTTTTTAAAAAAAAATCAGTGCAAGTAATAACCTCTTATTGTATTTTGATGTTGAGTTCAAAAAAAAACTGCAATAAACCAGGCAGTAACTTTTAAGTAACCGTCTTCTCGCAGTTGTTCCGAATTACTGACAAATCTCTGGTTGAAAGGATCTGAGCAAATGTACAAGTTTGCACAGCAATTTTCTTTCCTTCTCTCACAGCACAGGTTTGGCGCTGCAGAATAATAATAATAAAAATAATAATCCTTGCATTTGATATAGCGCTTTTCACGTCGGGAGAACGTCCCAAAGTGCTTCATAGAACACACTGTAAAGTTAATCGACTGTATATTTGTGGGCGAACGCGGCAGCCAATTGCGCACAGCAATGTCCCACAAATGGTCGTAGATTGAAAATGACCAATTTATTAGTGTTTTTGGTTTTGGAGGGATTATTATCAGGTGTGTGGAGTTAGGAAACTTGCCCAAGGTTTCGCCCTCTGCCTGGAATTGAACTCGGGTATCTCGCTTGCAAAGCGAGTGCTCTAACCACTGAGCTACAGGACTCCAGAAGCTTAGGAGAGCATGGCGTCCGCTGAAGTGTGGCTGGAAAAGAGTTCCTGCCGATCTCACAAATTCTTGCAGCTTTGAAACAACCCTTTCCAAGAAACTCCGATCTGAGCTTGAACTCTTATTTTTTATATATTTAAGACAAAACCTCTCCAAATGCCCAACAGGGATCCAGTCTCTCTGAACCCTCCACCTTTGCACTCTAAAAGCAAAATAACCCTTGCATTTGATTTGGACCGTGATTTTGTGTTGCAAACCCTCCTTGAAAATCCCCGATCCGTTTCCTCGATCCAGAGACGCGTCTCCCTCTTCCGCAGTTTCCTGTGCAACCGCAAAACTGTGTAGTCCTGTAGCTCAGTGGTTAGAGCACTCGCTTTGCAAGTGAGAGACCTGAGTTCAATTCCAGGCAGAGGGCGAAACCTTGGGCAAGTTTCCTTACTCCACACAGAGCCTAATAATAATCCCTCCAAAACCAAAAACAATAATAAATTGGTCATTTTCAATCTACGACTGTTTGTGGGACATTGCTGTGCGCAATTGGCTGCCGCGTTCGCCCACAAATATACAGTCAACTCACTTTACAGTGTGTTCTGTGAAGCGCTTTGGGACGTCCTCCCGACGTGAAAAGCGCTATATCAAATGGAAGGATTATTATTAAATCTTTAATCGCCTCGAAACACCGACCAGAAAACTCGCGCGTCTTAACCGCCCCATTCCTTACTCCCCCCCTCCCCCCCTCCCCCCCAACCCCACATCCAGAGCATCTCAGGCAAACCACCATCCAGGGAGTATGCAATTGCATATCCCCAGAGACACCCACTCCCCTGCGAGGTCCAAGCCGCTGGTGTGAGTGTGTGTGTGTGGATATTGACCAAACATCAACCCCCCCCCCCCCCCGCCTTGCTGGAGGGTCTCAGCTCCTCTACCCCCCACTCAACTAAAGTTGGGGGGAGGAGGAAGATGGGAGTGTGGAAGGAAGGGGGCGGAGAGGTCAATGCCTGTGCGATCAGTACCTTCACCCTCAGGGCCCGGGGAGCAAGAGCGCCGGTCAGCCAACCCGTCCCCACACCACCACCACACCACACCACACCGCGGGCCGGTCTGCTGCCCACCGGCCGGAGCCCGGCCCGCGGGCCGGCACACCCACCGACACACTGGGGCCGCTCCCAGCCAATCGCCGCGCACCCGGAGCTCCAGCTCGGCCCCGGATTGGTTCGAGTCGGCAGAGCGACGCGGAGAGTGCGGAGGAGCCCCGCCCCCCCCCCCCCCCCCCCCCCCCGCCGGGCGGTGTCGAGGATCCCCGCCCCGCGCGCCGAGCTCTCACTGCCACAGACCGGAGGAAGAGGGGCTCCTTGAAACAGCGGCGGGGGCTCTGCCGGAGTGACACGGATGGACAGTCGCGGAGTCGGAGCCGCGCCGCCGCCGCCGGAGTTGTGACTCTCTCCTCCTGTCCCACATTGGCATCGGGATCTGCTCGCGAACAAACTGGTTTTATTTGGGGGGAACAAGAGAAATCCAAACGTATGTGTTTTATTTTCTAATCCTCTCCCTCTCTCCTCCCTCTCTCCCTCCCTCCATCCTCCCTCCCTCCCTCCATCCTCCCTCCCTCCATCCTCCCTCCTCCCCTCCTCTTCCAGTAAGTCTTGAAGAACTAACTTCTGTGTTAATGTCTTAGAGAGAGAGAGAGAGAGAGTGTGAGAGAGATAGAGTGAGTGTGTGAGAGAGAGAGTGTGAGAGAGAGAGTGTGAGAGAGTGAGAGTGTGAGAGAGAGAGAGAGAGTGTGAGAGAGAGTGAATGTGTGAGAGAGAGTGTGTGAGAGAGAGTGTGAGAGAGAGAGTGAGTGTGTGAAAGAGTGTGTGAGTGTGTGAGAGAGAGTGTGCGTGAGAGAGAGAGTGTGTGAGTGTGTGTGAGAGAGAGAGAGAGTGTGAGAGAGAGAGAGAGTGTGAGAGAAGAGAGAAAAAGAGAGTGTGTGAGTGAGTGAGTGAGTGAGAGAGAGAGAGACGGGTCTCCCCCCCACCTCACCCCCCTCTCTCCCCCCCCCCCCCCTCCCTTCCCCTTTTCCATCAAAGTCAAGTAAGTTTTTTTTTGAACAACAACAGAGAAGGAGAAGAAGAAGAAGAAGAAGAAGAAGAAGAAGAAAGGAAAGAGCCAGGAGGAGGCGAGAGAGGAAAAAAAAAGGGGGAGTATGGCTGTGTGTAATTGCTTCCATCTGGATGTGTGCAAACTTGCGAGCGCTCGATGGCTCGTCTTCCTGCAGCTGTTTCTCTTGGGGTTGGGATCGGTTCGGCCTCAGGGACCGTACAACGGCGAGAGGGGCATCTCGATCCCGGGTCACGGCTTCTGCCAACCCATCTCGATCCCTCTGTGCACGGACATCGCCTACAACCAGACCATCATGCCCAACCTGCTGGGGCACACCAACCAGGAGGACGCCGGCCTGGAGGTGCATCAGTTCTACCCTCTGGTGAAAGTGCAGTGCTCGCCCGAGCTGAAGTTTTTCCTGTGCTCCATGTACGCCCCGGTGTGCACGGTGCTGGAGCAGGCCATCCCCCCGTGCCGGTCCCTGTGTGAGCAGGCCAGGCAGGGCTGCGAGGCGCTCATGAACAAATTCGGCTTCCAGTGGCCCGAGAGCCTGCGCTGCGAGAACTTCCCGGTGCACGGGTCTAACGACCTGTGCGTGGGCCAGAACATCACCGACAAAGGCAGCCCGACCCTGCACCCCCCCCAGTCCTCCCCCGAGACCGACACCCACTACCCCAACAACCACAACAACAACAGGTACCAGAGGAAGGAGCAGTTCGCCTGCCCGCAGGTCCTGAAGGTGCCCCCGTACCTCAACTACCACTTCCTGGGAGAGAAGCACTGCGGGGCGCCCTGCGAGCCCGTCCGCTCCAACGGGCTCATGTACTTCTCTCAGGAGGAGCTGAGGTTCTCCAGGATCTGGATCGGGATCTGGTCGGTGCTGTGCTGCGCCTCCACCCTGTTCACGGTGCTGACCTACCTGGTGGACATGCAGCGGTTCAGCTACCCCGAGCGGCCCATCATCTTCCTGTCGGGCTGCTACACCATGGTGGCCATCGCTTACATCGCGGGCTTCCTGCTGGAGGACAAGGTGGTCTGCAACGAGAAGTTCGCCGAAGACGGTTACCGGACGGTGGCCCAGGGCACCAAGAAGGAAGGCTGCACCATCCTCTTCATGATGCTGTACTTCTTCAGCATGGCCAGCTCCATCTGGTGGGTCATCCTGTCGCTGACCTGGTTCCTGGCGGCCGGGATGAAGTGGGGTCACGAAGCCATCGAGGCCAACTCGCAGTATTTCCACCTGGCGGCCTGGGCCGTGCCGGCCATCAAGACCATCACCATCCTGGCCGTGGGGCAGGTGGACGGAGATGTCCTGAGCGGCGTGTGCTTCGTGGGGCTGAACAACGTGGACGCGCTGCGGGGCTTCGTGCTGGCCCCGCTCTTCGTGTACCTGTTCATCGGCACCTCGTTCCTGCTGGCGGGCTTCGTGTCCCTGTTCCGCATCAGGACCATCATGAAGCACGACGGCACCAAGACCGAGAAGCTGGAGAAGCTGATGGTGCGGATCGGGATCTTCAGCGTCCTGTACACGGTGCCGGCCACCATCGTGATCGCCTGCTACTTTTACGAGCAAGCCTTCCGGGAACAGTGGGAGAAAAGCTGGATCACCCAGACCTGCAAGACGTACGCCATCCCCTGTCCCTACAGCCGCCACCCCCACATGACACCCGACTTCACCGTCTACATGATCAAATATCTCATGACACTCATAGTGGGCATCACCTCCGGCTTCTGGATCTGGTCCGGTAAGACTCTGCACTCGTGGCGCAAGTTCTACACCCAACTCAGAAACACTAATCACGGTGAGACCACAGTGTGAGAGACCCCCACAGAGACCCACCCTCACCCCAGCCAGTAAACCAGCCCCCACAGCACCCCCAGACTGCAGCCCAGCCCAGCCCAGCCCAGCCACACAGACTTTTAAGATGTGACAAGACTATATTTGAGATACTGTATGTTGTACATAGCGTCTGTAAGATTTTTTTTTGTAATTATTATATATATTTGTATTTAAAAAAAAAATCACCTCCCGAAGGTGTTTCTGTTTCCCCAATTCTGTGGAGTTTTGTTTTGTTTTGTTTTGGAGGAGTGATGGGTGGGGGTGGGGGGGCTGTGTGTGGGTGGGGGGGAGACACTGGTTGTTTCAGTGCCTGGAGGGGGGTTGGGGTTGGGGTTTTTGAGGGGGAGATTGTAATAACTCGTAGTCACACACGGAACATGAACTGCAAGTGAGTCAGACTTGAAAGCTGATCCTCTTGCTGTGCCAACTCGCATGTCTGAATGCTGAACCTTTCGAGACATAAATTGGACCTGGAGGCACTGGGACAATTAGTCTGACCCTGGAATGAGAGCATTCCCTTGTGTCCTAATGCCAGTCAGGTTAGCATCGTGATCCTTTAGAATTAAAAGAATCTTAAGGGCAGGGGAATGGATCAGTAAGTAATGAGTTTACCCTATACTGAGTTTAACTCTGGGTACTTGGGGTGTCAATGTACTCGGGTTACAATCCGGCACGACTGGCATCGAATACGATTATACCGATTTCTTTTTAATTGACTGGCCACGCACGTTAAAATCTCCCAGTTCTATGTACGTCTTAAGCAAAAGAATCAAGTCAAAAACGAACTGAGAAATAAATAAAATCCCACCCGATATAGGAGTGCTTAGACCTATTCTGCTGCCCATTCTCGTTCAGTTCAGCGTAAATGCTTTTTTTATTTGCCAGACGAGAAGTGGGGGAGTGGGGGGCAGTTGTACTGCCTGGTGCATTGGAAAACACTCCCATTGTTATGTTGATTTCTTTTTGACTCAAAGATCGCCATCAATGCATCTTTGTTGTAGTTTGTTGTGACTACCCTTCTCGCTGGAGACTGCTTTTCTGTGCACACCGCGCATTTTTATTTTAAAAGAAAGATGATTTAAAAGTCTGGAAACCAGGTGGGGATGTTTATATTCAAACCAGTGTCCAACAGAAACAGAACAGCTGAATAAGCAAGCTGAACTGCACCAGACTTGGCAGGGCTATATTTTGATTTTAGGGTGCGAAGGAACTTCAGAAACCAACTGAACAACGAGTGTGACTGAGAAGTGATGTCAGGACCCAGTGATAGTCTTCATTATGAGGCTCAACCAATATTAGAGCTAAATATAATAATAATCCTTGCATTTGATATAGCGCTTTATCACGTCTTCGAGACATCTCAAAGCGCCTCACAGAATATTCTGTAAAGTGAATTGACAGTATATTTTGTGGGTAAAACATACTCCCCTTCATTGCCAGCACTGGTCCAGCAAGCAAATTCTCAGTAGAAATACTATGTGCTCTACGCAGTGCATTTATTCCATTCATGAAAATGAAGGCAATTCAAGTCAAAATGTTTTTTTTAAAGACAAATAGTACTGTTTTACAAGCATTTTAGAACAAGCAGTACAAGCATTTTAAAGGCACCATAACTGCACATGCAGGCATTTTATTGTACTATATTTAAAGTACTTTGCATGATTGTTATCAAATAATTAATAGGAGTCTGTAGCCATAAAACCATTCAAGCCTGTACTCATGGTTCAAATTCACTATTGGCTTCAAGTCCCTGATGAGCAAAAAATGTCTGAACTTGGTATTCATTTATTCTTGTTCACCATTACAGAATCCTTTATATTTATAGAGCAATAGAAAAGTTTATATATTCCATATTTTTAATTTCTCTGAAATAAAATTTCCAACTTTTGTACAAAATTAAATTGAGTCTGCCTTAACGGTAATTCATGTATGCTAAGATCTTTTCAGGAATATGCTCTTGTATATTATTTTACAACTTGCTGGTAAATTCAGTCTTGCATGGGAAAATGATGTTGAGACTAAAAATGGAGTATTTTCTTTAGGACTTTTCCAGCTATGTTTTTGTATCTTTCCTGCTCCTTTGAGTCAGAATCAATGAACAGTAGATTTTTTTTATATCGTAATGCATTGTTTGTCATAGAGCACTGTAATATAAACCATGCCTTAATTTCACACATCAAATAATACTTTGCAGATCTAAAAACAAGCAGCAGAAACTAGTCTTCGGACTGGACTGTTTGTGTACAGACAATATGTTTAAGTTTGAGAGTCCCTGCTTATATTAAAATTAAAAATGTTTGAATATTTCCACATTTAAAAATTGTTACACCTCCTTAGCGCTGGTCTTCGAAGCCCTGTGGAGATTAATTTGTTATCTCTTGAAAATAAAGAACACACTTTAATGCTAGGTTTTAACATATCCCCAGCAAGGGTAAGAAATCAGTATATGACCTTGACAGATATTTTTAAAGAGGTAAAATTGTTAGATATTTGACCAAATTTGAATGTAGGTAGATGATTATAATTTAAATATAAGACTGCTTACATCTATATAGAGTAACCCTGAGATTTTTTTAAGTTTGTCGGAGGAAAATACTATGAATTCTGTGCACATTGCTAATTCTGCCAGCATTCATAATTGGAAATCATCACAAAAATATTTTTTGTAGATGTGTTGTGATTCAGTGTAATTTCAGAGCTATTTTCAGACCTTCGGTCCTCAACAAGGGTAACATGGCACCATTCTGATTGTGGTCTGACAGTATCCCTGACTAAATTCAACCATTACAACACAGCATAGAAAGGACTATTTTAATTCAGTATAAAATATCACAATTCTAAGCAAATACCTTTAGTTATTCAGGCCGTTCAGCTGAGTAGAGTACTATTTGAATCCATCAGATTTTTATTAGCAGTGGGGATATAAGCGGCTATAACACGAGTGTCAAAATGGTAACTGCTGAAATTATTTTGACGTCTATCATTGTGGCACGGAACCTAGCAGAGCAAACCCTAGACAATTGAAGCATGCCATCAATGCCCAAACTGCAGTTCATAAAACGGCATGCATTTAATATTTTTGTTGATGTGACCATTATAGTTTTATGATGTTAATTGTATGTGTTTGTCAAGGTGACATACCAGCTGCTTTGTGAGGCTTTTCTAAAAGTAGTAGACCATTATTAGCTCCCCTAATCGTTGGACATATTTATGCATATCCTATGCAGAAAGGACTCTCTAATCCTTGTTTATTTCCTATGGGAGTGGCAGATTATTCCATACGCATGACTAGATTTTGGGAGCTGAGTTTTTGGTTTACTGATCAGTTGTTAGATCTTACCTTAGAAATGGGTCATTAAATCATATTTCTATAAGCTTCACGTTCCTTCATCTTGAAGCAGATGTGAACATTTGAGGTCCTAGTTTAAAAACATACTGTGGTTTTATACTAGCCCATTGTTAATTACTAAACTACTGCTGGAATTACTTTATTAGTATATTAGAGAGATATAACTAATTTTCCCAGCTGAATACATATTTTGATAAGAGATGCTCATTTGTTACACTATTTAGGAGTTTTTTAAATAAATTATAAAGCAATAATGTTAGGGGTATATTGTCGAACCAGATTCTTGTAAACCATGTTTAGGCAATGCAGTGATTGATTATCTGTATTATGAAATCTCACTAAAAATGCCTTGCTATTGATCCCACATAAAAAAAAGTTCTGATACATGTATTCACTAAGTGGAGAATAATGGAACTTATGTTTGCAATGATCACATATGTATCCATATAAGTTATAAACATTTCACGGATACCCACTTTTATTTTTGCACCTAAGGCAATTTATTAACCTAACTTTAAAATAAAAAATAAAAAGATGTTAGCTTAATTGCAATGTTTTGGACAATGCTGGAGAATACAGTATTGTTAAGAAAGAGATTATTTTGTATAACTAAAAATAAAATACATTTTCAAAATTGTTTAAAATCTAATATTCTGGGCTGGTCGTATTTACCATTTTCAAATATTAGCTTCAGGTGTGTAAATTTTCCCGGCTCCTACAGCATTTCTTTCCCACTCTTTCTTCTGTTCTGAAGCTGATATCACTTGCTGAGGTGTGTTTTATGTTTCCACAAATGCCAGCAGCCCTCCGTTACCTTGCCCAGGTTGTCATGTGATCTGTGAGCATTTGGACAGCGAATATTATGAGTCTATTTGCCTTGGGGAAGGGAGATATCACAGCCAAATCCATCATGTTTTCACTCAACATCAACAAGTGCATTTCTCAGAAAGAACCATAGGATAGAAATGGTGGCTGGAAATCCTACCTAATGTGAGACCATTTTGTCTTAATACAAGTATTTAAGATCATACAGTTCTTTGGTAAATTCTTAGATTCACTCTTATTTGGAAGGTAGCTTTCTGCATTTCTTAAGAAGAGCCAGCTTCTAAATTTAAGAGTGAATGAAGAATCTGTCATAATTTTGTGTGATCTTAAATTTGAATATTTTTAAAGGCTGAATCTTGGTGAAATTTTGGACCTATGCTGGAGCAGGAGCCTTGAATAGTTATTGCCACCTTCCTAGCCTCGGGTGCTGAAGTTAATTTTCTGGCTGAAATTCACTAATTCAGCACAGACTGTGACTATTTGGTCTGTTGAGTACACTGATAAACCCTTTGTCTTATTTGATGTACGCACCAAAAAGCTTGCCTACAAGGCAAATTTTAAATTGTTGGTTCCATAGCTCTGAAAGATACCTCTGGTTCCTTAAAAAGCATCTAATCTATATTGTTTTACAACCTTTGTTATCAGACCATGAAAGATAGACTGTCAGAAACTGCTTTAGGTTCTAGGTCAAGAATGTTTGCCCATTGCGTTCTTGACAGGAGAGCTATGCTTCACGGCTGCCTTGGAATACATCTTGTTTGTCTTCAAACCAAAGGTAATGGTAACAGTAGAAATTTGGTGTTAAAAAATTTATAGTTCTTCGATGTTCATTTTTAGGAGGTTAGAGTGTCTTTTACGGTAACAGTTTGCCTTTTTCATGTATGTCAGTTAAAATGAGAACTTTTGTATAGTGCTGTTATTTATTTGTTTGACAAGTGTACGTTTTTTTTACAAAGCAAAATTGTTGTCCCTAAAGTCAGTTAAGGGCGGCTACTAAATTAATTTACAATTGTAACCAGTTACATTACGGGGATACATA